CCCGTCAAGCCACACGTCCTGCATTCAAATATATTCTGTCGAATATGTTTTGTTCCTGTCCACGTGAATGAACACGTGTCATTACAACACAGCAGATACAGTGGTGACGACATTCCTGATGTGTCAGCGGGGCATATCATGGACATGAGACGGTCTTGATTCACAATCTTGGTTTCAGGGTCTGTAGCGAAGTCTTTGGCGGTTTCAAAGAGAAACAACGCTGAAGGATAAGCACGACGACACACTGCCAACATGAACGGAGTGTAACCATCTGCATCTCTGAAACGAAACAACTTTAAATTTAGCCATTTAAAACTAAACTTCACCAAGCTATAGCTTTCTTTACACTGGATAGCTCTATCAGTTCTAGTCTGTTCTTCCTAGAGGCCCAGTAAGGGTCATTTCTTATTGATCCAGTGTTACTACAGGAGGAAACCTAAACTAAACTAAACTAAACTAACTTTACTTACACTGGGCGACTCTACTAGTTTTAAGTTTTCTTCCTAGAGGTCCAGTAAGGGTCATTTCTTATTGATCCAGTGTTACTAAACTAAACTAACTTTACTTATACTGGATAGCTCTACCAGTTCTAAACTGTTCTTCCTAGAGGTCCAGTAAGGATCATCTCTTATTGATCCAGTGTTACTACAGGAGGAAACCTAAACTAAACTAACTTTATTTATACTGGATAGCTCTATCAGTTCTAAACTGTTCTTCCTCGAGGTCCAGTAAGAATCATCTCTTATTGATCCAGTGTTACTACAGGAGGAAACCTAATCTAAACTACTTTATTTATACTGGATAGCTCTATCAGTTCTAAACTGTTCTTCCTCGAGGTCCAGTAAGGATCATCTCTTATTGATCCAGTGTTACTACAGGAGGAAACCTAAACTAACTTCAACGTTTGGAATTGAACCCTGATCAAATCATGTGATTGATATACATGTAATTAACTTACTTGGCTGCAAGCAAGGATTGCAAATGAGGTTTTAACTTTTCGTTGTTGCAGAACAATTTTAAAATTCTCAGAGCTTTCGTCTGCTTGTCTTCTTCGGGAGGATTGGGTGGAACTGTAAATATATAAAAAAAAATTAGCACTATCAATTATTATTATCAGAAGGAAACGTAAACTGAACTAACTTTATTAGTAGAGCACTGCACCGGAATTGTATAGCGGTTCATCAACTGTATAATATACCTGTGACTGCAGGCGCAGTATCTGCAGTGGTAGCGCCAGCGGTGGTAGGAGCAGCAGGTGTTGTCCCTGAGGTATTTGATGTAGTGTTACTTGATGTAGTGTTACTGGTAGGAGGATCGGGCGGCCAGTGCAAGGTGGGTATTGCTGTATCATCATCAACGTCAAGATTAGCTGCTCTCGCCGCCATTACTGCTTTCTGCATCATTTCTCGTATGCTGATACTACGACTGCTGCCGATACTGGGACTTGGTGTACCTGGGAGAAATATTCAGGTTTATTGGTGGCTTTCAGTCAGCATTTTACAGGGCAGCAGAGGATAGACAACTTCAGATATGTTAACACTTATACGAGAAAGAAAATTAAACTTCTCAAACTAACTCTCACATGACTGACACAAAAAAAACCCAATAAAAAAAACAAACAAAAAAATAAACATAAGTCATGTTTATTTGTTTATAAAAAAAATAAACATATGTCATATTAGAAAGGATAATGTACATGTATTAAGTCTATTTATTTCCCAAGATAATGAAAGCCAACAAGGATCTCCTCAAACGTACCTGAAGTCGCATTTGTAGTAGAACGAGTGGAAGCATCCCTGGTTTCAGACGGCACAGCAGAAGATACACACACATGGAGAATGTTTCTGTTTCCATCGCATGTTTCTTTAAGAACTTCGGGAATTTCATCAGCTAATGAGGCAGAACAGATACATCTTGTGTCATTGTCATGACTAGCAAGTAATGTACTAGTTTCAAGTCATTAGGAAAACTAAACGAACTTTATTTATACTGGATAGCTCTAGCAGGTCCAAATTGTTCTCCCTAGAGGTCCAGTAAGGATCATTTCTTATTGATCCAGTGTTACTACAGGTGGAAACCTAAACTAAACTAACTTCATTTATACTGGGATAGCTCTATCAGTTCTAAACTGTTCTTCCTAGAGGTCCAGTAAAGATCATCTCTTATTGATCCAGTGTTACTACAGAAGGAAACCTAAACTAAACTAACTTTATTTATACTGGATAGCTCTAGCAGGTCAAAATTGTTCTCCCTAGAGGTCCAGTAAGGATCATCTCTTACTGATCCAGTGTTACTACAGGAGGAAACCTAAACTAAACTAACTTTATTTATACTGGATAGCTCTATCAGTTCTAAACTGTTCTCCCTAGAGGCCCAGTAAGGATCATCTCTTATTGATCCAGTGTTACTACAGGAGGAAACCTAAACTAAATTTATTTATACTGGATAGCTCTAGCAGGTCAAAATTGTTTCCCTAGAGGTCCAGTAAGGATCATCTCTTAACTGCTCCAAACAAACCAAATATTTTATAGTAAATTGAAATTAATATTTTTAAACTTACGACATTTCTGGGTCAGATGATCCACAAAACCTATCACTGCGGTTTCATTGAGGTCGACGACTTCAGAGATTAAAGTCGCAATCTAAAATAAGAAAAAAGTTAGCTCGTTGCCGCACAGATGGGGCATTAGCTTACTGAGCAATCAACGAGCAGAGAATGTCTTACTGGCAGGGAAAGAGCAACGACTGCAACTTTCTTGTTGTCTTTACTGGATGAAACAGCAATACGTAGAATATGTACAGGAGGCAGCCCCTAAAGAAACAGGAGAAAAATTATATCTCTGAAATTCAGTCTCCATCGACTGGGGGGAAAATTTGAGAAAGTTTAGGAAATAAGGAAATGTTTCCATCCCGCTATGTCGGGACAAGATGTGAGGCGGGGGGGGGTGTATTGGAAATAAGTCACAGTGCACGATCCAACAAAACTACAGCATTTTTCTAGTGATAGATTCTACCATAATTGTAAACGGAAGGGTGTTCAAGCAGCAGTAATAATCTTCTCGACAACACTTGACTTCTTTTAAAAGAAAATGTGAACTTTCGTTCCAGCCTAGAGCGAATTATTTCAACACATCAAAATCATCCCAGTTTCCATGCATTCCCAGCAAACCTGGTCATGTGAACATCCCCTAAGCTTTATAGTTTCTGTAGGCTTATCATACTTACCAGCCAAAGAGGCTCTTTGACACCACCCAAACTGTCCTTTTCAAGAGGGATCAATGCCCCGGTTGAATCTTGTAGTACCATCACTGGACCCTGCAAACAACACACAGTGCTTAGTGCATGTCTCTCCCAACGCCCATTTCCACTCAAGAAAAATTTCCATGGACACAAAATGTTCCGAAAATATCATCGTTAAAAGTTGAAAATTTCAACTTCAAAATTTTTTCCGACGGAAATTTTGTGTCAGCCAATTACAAAGTTTTCTTTCAGCGGAAAATTTTCCTGAGTGGAAATGGGTCTTGAGACGAGTGTTCGATTGTCGCACCATGTACTAATGAGATACAGCAATCAAAGCTTACCACCACAGAAGGGTTTAACTGCATGGGGATGGTTGAAGTCTTGGAAAGAAATGAAGCAGTTTCTGCCGGGAATACACCGCCTGGTACTGCCTTGCCATTGGCTAGATTGAACAATGCATACGACATTCTACTGCCTCGCTTTAACACAGCATGAACACCTAATGAAGAAAACAAGAATGAGGAAACAATGTTGATTCATTTTATGTTCTTGCATTTAGCGAGTACAATAGACAATTCCCATTATAGACTCATTTTAAAACTAGGCAAGGGGGTGCAAATAAATCACCACAGCTTGAAAGAGCATACTAAAATTAGTAAAATTACAAAGTTTGGTTGCGAAATGTTGTAAAATGCGGAAAATATAGCCTTGCAAAGTTCGCCAATTTTGTATACTTTTGTATTGCGTGCGGAAATTTCTACCACATTTGGGCCGAAAATGGTAGCAATTTCCGCACGTAATACAAAAGTATACAAAATTTTACAACATTTCGCAACCAAACTGAAACTTAATTGCATGTAACTTAATTGCATAATTTCACTCACCGTCATTCGCGACTGCTATTGTCATTGGCGTAGCTCCAGACGGGATAACTAGGGGTTTGGGGGACTTCTGGATACAATCAGGAACTTTGTGGTTTGCGCTTGACTTCACAACCTGTCGAAAGAGATGGTCACAGTTGAGAGACAACAGTCCAGGTATACAATTTGAGGTCAATGTGGTCACTTTAAATTTACCTGCAGTTCGTCCTTGCGTACGAGACGACAGTTCTTGAGGAGTGACATGGGATCAGAGGGAGACGAGGGGGGTACTGAGGGTTTTTCTTTGGAAGGAAACAGGACAGCTGCGTATAAACCATCAACCTGGGGTAGAGGAGGAAAACAACGAGCTCAAAGATTATTGTATGTTTGATGGTTTATAAATCCACTAAACACTGGTTGACACCAGGCTTTTACTCTTTTAGCCAGAGTCCTAAAAGAGGGCGTCCAATTTTGGTACAACGACATCTACAGTTAAAGACGGGGTGTTCGAGAAAACGTTCCTCTGGAAAACCTTTGAAGTTTACGTTACTTCATATCAGTATCTGTCCCAAGCTCGTTCGAAATTTTTCAAACACACTTGGCTTTGTGAGTACTGAGTTTGTGCGGTATTGTACAGCTATGCTTCTTTATTTAACTACGACATTTTCGTTCAGCCAGGTAAACCATCAAATGGATCAAAATGTCAAATGTATAATAATAATGAGAATTGAAGCTATTTCGTTTCGGATATATTAATATACTTCGGGAAATAATTGAAAATAATTTCCCTTTTTGCCCAGAATTTGGGCATCCAAAAGCGTCCATTTTTTGTTCTATAGGGCGTCCCAGGACGCCTGCTTTACACTATATCAAAGTTTCTGTGATCACAGTATTTTTGCATTGATAAATTCTAAGTTTTGAAGGATTTGTAAGAAATGTTTGGGGAAACTTACTCATTTTCAAACATTTCTTACATATCCTTCAAAACTTGGAGTTTAATTCCTACTGTGATCACAGAAACTTTGAACCAGGCTTAAAGTGACTGTGAAGTTGGTGAACAATGGCTGCCATGTGAGGCTAACATATCATTTTAGGTCTTCCTAAAGTCGAAATGCAAAACCCACACACACCTTCAAGACAACACCGATGGATGAATTTTGTTTATCCTCAACAAAGACAACTTCTTTCAAGTCCCATTCCTCCTCCTTACTCACTCCGTCACTTTCATCACTTGCTTTACGCTCTAAATGACAGTCATAAATATAGATGTCACAGTTGTCAGTACACGAGGGTTTGTCGTCTGCAATGTGCAGGGTTTCTCCAAGTATATTTCGGTTTTCTCCTGTAGTAACACTGGATCAATAAGAGATGACCCTTACTGGACCTCTAAGAAGAACAGTTTAGAACTGATAGAGCTATCCAGTATAAATAAAGATAGTTTAGTGTAGGTTTCCTTTTGGAAACATAATAGGCCTAACAGAACTATGGTATCCATATCAATAAAATTAGTTATAAATTTCTGAGGATATCTTACTTGAGCCAATAACAGGACTGACGTCAGGTTGACCAGCAGCACTTGCAGGACCAGCTTTCTCTTTATTCCCATTTGGAGAGATGACTTTAAACCTGAGCTTATTCACAGCAAAGTTCCACAATGATGTCACTACCTCACCCACTCGTGGTGTTTCGTTGCCCACATTGAATGCCAGAGCGCCTGCGTTGTATAAAGGACTGCTTCTTAAACACACCTGAAGGCAGAGAGATGCTGAGTCAGCGAATACAACGAATGGGCGAGACCACTTGTAGCGCTTGCAGGAAATTGCATCTCCTTGGCGCGAAAAATTACATGACAGACGTTGTGTTCTTTTTCTTATGCTTATGTTGTTTCTTTTTCTTATGCTTATGTTGTTGCTTATGCTTATGCTTATGCTTATGCTTATGTTGTTGCTTATGCTTATGTTGTTGCTTATGCTTATGCTTATGTTGTTGCTTATGCTTATGTTGTTGCTTATGCTTTATCTTGTGTTGTAGTGAGGACAAAGTGTAACTTAAGCCCTGGGCAAACTAGGAAACATTGTTATGGAAACATTTGTGATTCTCGTTGTTTCCTCAAATGTTTCCCTGTTTGCCCACCCGTGGAAGCATTGTTGCGGAACCAAAATTTGCTTCCCGAGAAGCAAAAATGTTTCCTAGCAAATTCAGAAACATTTGATGTTTCCCTATGTTTCTTACTAATGTTTCCTAGTGTTTGCCCACTCTTGGAAACATGGCGAAACATTGGTAGGAAACAATGTTTCCGCAACAATGTTTCCTAGTTTGCCCAGGGCTTTAGAACAACACAAGTATAAGAACATTAAAGCATTCCGCTAGCTTGTGCTTATCGACTTTTGCCAACAACTCGCAAATAGTGTTTTTGTTTGTTTTATTATTGCAGAGTGTTTGCGACCACCGCCGACTGTCCCAACAAAACAATTTTTTTATTCCTTGCAACAGGCAGTTAAACAGAATTCGCCGACTAATCAAAACCATATGCTTCCTTACCTGAGCTCCAACGACAATTTCCGAGATTCCTGTGATGCGGTCTTTCTTAGCTCGTGCCTTCGCCTTCTCCATTAACTTGCGACGTTGATCAGATGGTAGCACCCCCCTGGACAAATATTTAACACATCAATTTTCTATGCTCTTTATGTCGATGTCATTTTTGTAAATTTTCTCCTCGTGTATAACAAGGCGGGATTTTGGTGGAAATAGTGGGGGACGTGGAAAAAATTTAGGGGAGATGCAGCGGTCTAGCTCACGACCCCCAAGGAAAGTTAGGGCTTAGAAAGGGGTGGGCAGGGAAGGAGACATGTGCATGTAGTGTACATATGTATTAATGAATTATGACTGTACAACTCATCTAATTTTACTCTTCATTATAATTACTAAGTTTCTAAGTTGCATTAAAAGGGTACTTGACACAGAGGAGATGAATGGCTATCTCTGTTTCAATTTTACAGAAAAACTTTCTTACGAAGTGTAAACCCTAAGCAATCAAAAAATGTTAAATTTTCACTTTGGGGATCGGGTGCATGACTTTTCAGGAGAGGTGCAAATATTCTCAGGGGAGTTGCAAAACGATCTCAGGGGAGGCGCGCGCACCTCCCCTCAAAATCCGGCCATGGTATATAAGTAATCGTTGTTCACGTACCACCAATACAAGTTCCCCGGCACTGTCTGAACACATGTGTACAGAGGACAAGTGAATATCTCGTGGATTTTTTCTTTCTCAAAATCTGGAAACATCTTGGCAGAGTGTTCCAATTTCGAAGCCACTGCAGACAGAGTTTCATCCAGCCATGTAGCAACCTGTACAAACAAAGGGTCATCATCTACCTATACTATCCAGGCTCGTGATTGATTGATTATAACAATAGTGAAAGACAATAAAACTAGAAATCGTGAACTCGAAATCACGAACAACGATCATTCTTGTTTCTGAAAGCCAGTCACAAAACATGATAATTTTAGGTAGGTCTTTACCCCAAACAAAAAATTCTCGGGTTTCATGACGTCACGCTTCGCTCGAAACATCGAAATTCTCTTTGTCTTTTTGAGGCAATATACTTGCAATTACTTGCAATTTTTCGACTTCTGATGGATGTGAACGAATAGATGAGTACGAATGTTCTGAGTATATGTACCCCAGTGAACTGTAATAACACTGGAACGCTAACTGCAGATAAACATGCCCATACTTGCCTGAAGCCAAAATGGCGCTTCTCGCGAGCACGGCCAGCAATAAATTAACTTTCAAAAGGACTGGGGAGAGTTTCGAGGAGCGGGAAATTCAGTCAAAAGTTTGTTTTTGAGCGAAAATCAGCAAGAAAAAGCACTTTTTTATCGAAAGTCTTCAACTTTAAAGATTCAAACCTGGTTTCCTGGATATTTCTAAGTATTTTACATCCACTAACAGCAAAAACTTCCTGGGTAACAGCTTGATATTCAAAATATTACACAAGTTTGAACGTGCCGAAAAAAACTTCGCACTTTGACTCCTGAAAAAAGAACTTTATAACTGCTCTACGTTCTGGAAACATGTTTTGTATTAAATTTCAGGTATTGTTGAAAGTTTTTAGCTTTTTTCCTTGTTGAAATACAGCTATTTAGTGGTCGAAAACAGACATCTTTTTGGTGGCGTATTTTCCACTCCATACGTACATGGCGGCCTTCAATTTGGCTCCAAAGATGGCCGCCAAGTTATCGTTCCAGTTCCCTTAGAGTTCACTGATGTACCCTCATCTGACATTCATAACTCTTCCACTCGTTCACATCGGTCAGAAGACGAAAATCGCATCTAAAATCCCAGCAAAAATTGCAAGTATAAACGAGCCGTTATAGAAACTCAAATATACATTACCTTCCCCGAGCGCGTAGCAACAGTAGCCCGGGACGAGCAAGCAGACAGCTTAACAACATTCTCGTTGAACAATCCGAGGGACTTGGTCTTAGGATGAGTTATCTTTGAACCACGTTCATTGAGAGCTGGAAACGGAGCAGGCTCGTTCCATTTCCACTGATGTAAATTTCCCTCATTATCCAAACACACCAACTCCGAGTGCATTGACGCCATTTTCACAAATACCGGCATTGAACTCTTCTGTAAAATAAAAAGAGCATCCAAATTAGCCTTTCCCACAGCCGATTTTCCGAGAGTCTCCGCACCACGAAATACAACTTTTTAGCATTATAGTTGTTTGTATAATGGTAAATTTATAGTTACAACTTTTAAAAGTCGCTTTTCACGTTGTTTGAATTGTCTGGAATCTTTCACGAAGGCAGACAGTGCCCAAAAATGGCGGATTTTGGCCTTCGTGAGAAAGGCTAATTCAACTACTACATCTCTCAATTCTATTTATTTGCGTCCAAATACAAGAGTACTACATTTAATGAAAAGAATGAACATTATTTTCTCACTCTGATAACTGCAGGTTAACCAACATCTGCTGCACGATACTGCTTAGTGAAACCCCAGCTATAATTGTTCGGTTAACCCATTACTACCGCTAGAAGATTTTACGAAAGGGAGGGGGGCATTTGAATTTGAGCAGGAATTTGATTTCGAGCAGGAATTTGAACTTCATGGAACATTTATTTGTTCTGTTAAGCAATTTTTACCTCGCCTGGCCAATGTTCCAATTCTCCCATGAACGTTACAGGTTCCTTCGTGCTCTTCTTGGCCTGGCTCTTATCTTGTGATGAGTTATTATTGTTCTTATTCCCGGCACTGTTTTCAGCTAGTCCCAGGCCACTCCACCATCGTTCACGACGCAGTAGATCTCTCTCTCGGTCCCGGTCTCTCTCCGCCTCAAACTCTCGTTCAAAGAAACGACTTGCTCTACTGCCCATGCGCCGGGGGAGACTGCTGTAGAACATCTCTTCAGGGAAGATTGCGTCAGCTTCCATCATGATGGCAGGATCGTCTGGGTGAAGTCCGTTCTCCAGGATTGAGAATAAGTCTTCTGGAAGTTAACAGAATGAGTAATATAGCGTCTTGTCTAAAGCCTGGTTTACACTTTCAAAGTTTCTGTGATCACAGTAGGAATTTTGCATCGGTAAATTCTAACTTTTGAAGGATTTGTAAGAAATGTTTGAGGAAACTGAGTTAGTGTTCAGTGCCCTGAAACATTTCTTACAAATCCTTCAAAACTTAGAATTTACCGATGCAAAATTCCTACTGTGATCACAGAAACTTTGATAGTGTCAACCAGGCTTTAGAAGATGCAATTTAACAAGAGAAAGATACTGAAGCGATAATTTACCGCCTGGAATGTAGGACTCGCCTTCTTCCTGATCATCTCCATCTTCTTCATCACGACTCAGAAGATTGTTCACTGCAAGGTTGACGTCTAAATTCTGTGGTGGAGATCACATTCTTATCAATGGGAGAAACTAAATCAACTTTATTTATACTGGATAGCTCTATCAGTTCTAAACTGTTCTCCCTAGAGGTCCAGTAACGA